GATTTGTTTATTTATGCATACAAGAGTTTGGATGTAGGTCAGAGGTACAAGGGATGGGGAGGAAATGAGAGGAATTACCAGAAACAGTATGGGGAGCAGACCAGGCATATTGAGTGAAATTCACTGCTGAGGGGAACAGGAGGCAAGACAGGAGAGGTCTGCCACACCATGTGGGTCAGCTCCCTGGCTGGGTCGAGATCTCGAGCTGCAGTGGTTGCAAATAGCTTCATATTGCTGAGACTTAACCCCATTGTTCCACCAAGGAGAGCCTGGAATATATTTAGAGAGAAAAATGCTTAGCCATATGTAGAAAACTAGATTTTTTCCCCTATTATTCTATTTATTCTATTTGTCTTTATGAACCTTGTTGATAAATACATGTTAATAAGCAGAATCGAGTGTTTAGCAAATCTTTGATGGTAGCCTTCTAAGCTTTGAATTGACAAAACGAAATTAGAAGAGAAAATATCAGTAGTTTGTTTGGCCATATAAAATTTTGAAACTGTGTACATAGAAAACTCCAACCCAAAGGAAAATAAATGCTTGGTAAAAATATCTCTCGCATATGATAAAGGATGAACTTCTATAAAGCACTCATGCAATTCAACCAAAGATAAATGGGCAGTAATACTTCACACAGGAGTGAATAAGCATATGGGGAAATGTTAACCCTCACTAGTGGCTTTTTAAGTGTAAATTAAAATGATTGTGTTAGTAAAAGTTAAAAATAATTATCAGACTCACAAGAGTGCAGTAAAGTTGCAAGAATCCTCTGAGGAAGGGTTTTAGCAATACACATATGCTACTATCAAGTGTTCCAACTCTTACTACAGTGCTCCAGTTCCAAGGGTCACTGCCCATCACTCCCATACATTTGCACCAGTCCTCCCAAAGCAGTGTCTCCAGTCCAGATCATGTGCCTGAGCTCAGGGCTGTCTCTAAGACATATCCAGTCTCATGCCCCCCTCCCCTTCAGCCCCATGCCTCATGTAAAGCGTGCCTCCTCCTTGTTCCCTGTGAATGCACCAGAGTCACTGGAGTCAGAAAGCTGGGAGTCATCCTAATTACCTCTTTGTCCCTCACCCCTGTACAGTCACCATTTCCCAGTCAGATTCCACCAATGCTGCATCTGTGAAGCTTTTTGAATCTGCCCCTTTTTGGCAGCCTCACAGTCACGGGCCTGGATTTCACCGTGCTGTTTGCTGCTTGTCTTGTTGAAATAGCCCTGACCCATGCCCTCCAAGCCACTCATACCTCCCTCAAACCAGAGTTATCTTTTTTGATCACAAAGCCGATCCTGTCCTCCTTTGGAATCTTTCAACTGCTCCCCATTGTCTACCTTCAGGTTAAAGTCCAAGAGCCTTAGGAGTTAGCAGCCCTCTGTGTTCCAACATGCCTGGCCACCCTCTTTCCTCTGATGATCTTCTCCTGGCTTTCCGCTCCCTCCTCCCAGCCTGCCTCTCCTATTGTAATGTGAATTCCTTGAGAGTAGGATAGAGATCTTAATCAGCTCTGCATCTCCAGTTCATAATACAGAGTTTGGCACTGAGTAGGCACTCAGTAAATGTTGGGTGAAGGAATGGATTCATTCAACTGAAGGAAAAATCCATACGAAAAAAACAGTATATAGTTTATAATAAAGAACAGTTACAATAAAGAAAAAGTGAAAAAAAACCCTGAAATGTTCAATAGTAGAGAATTTTTATTAATTATGGGACATCCATTTAATGGAATATGATGCAGCTATTAAAATAATGATTCTGAAGATTATGTAACAACTCGGAAAGCGCTTATAATACAATAAAAGCAGAATACAAAATGGTCTGTATGCTAGTACTAAAATTATGTAAAAGTATGCATGCACACAAGCCGATCAAAATGAGAACAGGAACAGGAACAAATGAATACAGATGATGTGTTTAAAGTGTTTGGGGAGGTACTGTTTGTGATTTTCTTAGCTCTTTCCAAATTCCCTTTATTGTTGCTAGAATGTCATTTGTGCATAAACACAAATTGACAGGAAAAAAATAAACTGAGAAGGGTGCTTTAATTCCCTCAAGTCCTTCAACAAACTGTGGTACAAAAACAAACAAACCCATGACCTGGGGGGGCAAGAGAACAGCCCTTCCACCTCACCCTTAGCCCTGCACCCACCCAACCCCTAACTGGCTGTGTAATCTTGATTAAGTAAGAGCTACTGCATTAACCAGACATTTCTCCTATCCTCTCTAGCTAAGTTTCATGGTCATCCTATTATTTTTGTTAGATACACCACCATCTTCTTACTATCCCCAGGTTGAAAATCTCAGAATCTACTTGCACTGTCTCATGGTCTCTCTTCTTCACTCTCTCTAATCCCCACCTCCAATCAAATGCCCACATCTTTTCAATAATCATTTCTAGCAACCTAAATTATGCACCACGTCCTAGTTTTGGACAAAGAAGAGCCCCTATCTTCTTGGTTAAAGCTAGTTGGTTGAAAAGAGCCAATAGTGGTTTTATGCTCTTCTGCAGGGTCACGTGGAGGGTAGAGACAGACATGTAAAGTGGAGCCTCCAGCCCTCCCTGGTGGTGAAATGAGTTAAAGGCCAGCACTGCATGCTAGCCACAGCCACTTCAGTGTGAGTTCGATCCCAGGCCAGGGAAGTGACCCACATGGCGCAGCAGATCTCTCCTGTTCCGCCTGCTGCTCCCCTCAGCAGTGTACTTCGTCGATCTGCCTGTTTTGCTCCCCATTCAGTCTCTGGTGAATCCTCTCACTGCCCCTGCACCTCTGGTCTGTACCCCAGTTCTGTATGCATAAATAAGTAAAGTGGAACCTCCTGAGTTAGAAGCCTGGGCCCATAATGGGTAGAGTGCAGGCCCAGTCTGGCAGCTCTCAGAGTTAGTAAGGTAAGACCTGGCACCTCTCAGGGTTAGTAGGGTAAGACCTGGCAACATGGATGGGATGTTGACTCAATGTATTCATTCAGCAAGTATTTACCAAGTGCTGGATACAAGTTCTCTGTTAAGTGTCAAAGGGATTAGGCCAGTATTAAGCCATGAAGATGTTCCCAGTTCAGTGGAGAACACACAGGAAACCAGATTTCACAACCCAATGTGATAAGTACTGTCATCGAGTTTGAAAGAATGGTTCTTAGGCAGGAATAATGTGGGATATACCCTGTCTCAGGGATTTGGGGGCTTACAGGGGCAGAAGGACTTGAGCTGTATGTATCTCCAAGGCTGAGGAATGGGATTAGGAGTACAAGAAAAGGATTGGGCTGTCCATGAAGTTCCAAGCTAAGGAATAATCAGGTCTACAGGCAGGAGGATTGCTAGAGGTAGCTTTTGTGGAACTTTAATAATGTGGAGTGGCATTGATACCAGGTGGCAGGGAACCCTAAACTGGCCAAGGCCCCACTGCCCAAATAATTTACAAATACTGTCTGGGTTCTTCACCCATGTGCACAATTGCATGACTGCTCAGGCTCAGGAAACAACAACAAAGGGATTTATTTAACAAACAGGAAAAACTAGGGTTGCTGTGGCCAGTGATGGCCGTTTACTTTACCCAAGGTCATGTCCAGTACTGTCCTGCACAAAGACTGTTATGATGGCGTCTTCCCACCACTGAGGATGTGCAGCTCCTCTCCCAAACAACAGGTCACATGTCTAAGATGGCGTCTTTCTGCCCCTGCCAGCCTGGGGCACACGGCAGCCAGACTCCAGGCCAGGTTCCAACTTGCAAAGTCAACAGAAGACACGACAAGAGACGGTGCCAGAGCTGCAGGACACTCCAGCACAGCACCAGACAAAGGGCACTCAGGACAGCAGCCACAGCCACCAAATGACCTGACAAACAGCCTCACTCATGCAGCTAAGCCAGTCTGTAACTGCAACAAAACCAGGAACCTTTTCAATCGCTTGGCTACTCACAAAGGCTCTTCCTCTCCAACGTTGGCTATGCTAGGCCTCCACCTTTAGAAGTCCTCAGCAACCTTCTGGAAGATCGGCCTGGTCCAGGGTTGAAATCCACTAGCCCCCAAAATGCTCAAGGAACTCAAATCTTGATTCCTCCAGACCTGACAACAACAACCATCTTCTTTGCTCTCTCCTTTTCTGCCTTCGATTTCCTCTCCAAGTAATCCCCTTCTCAATATCCGCTACTTTTTATCATTTTCTCTGGTGCTATTTGTCTTCACCAGCAACCCCCTCAGGGAGGGTCACCACCTACAACAGTCCATTGTTTCAGCACCAGGTTATAGCTTAAGCTTTGAGGTTTGAGATGGTGGGGAGTGGTGGGTGTCCAGGAGGTGGCTGGTGAATAGCAGAGACCTGACGGGCCGGTCAGCAGCGCCTAAGGGCAGTTTCAAAGGAGGGAGATAGTATGATCAGAGCTAAGTCGTAGATAGCAATGGTTTCTAACGGCCCCCCTCTTTTCTCCTGAGACTTTGTGGTAGATGCCAAATTTGTTATACAGGAAGCAATGGGCAGAGTGTCAAGTTTCCAGCAGGGACATTACCCTACCACCTTCAACCCTCTGTCAGTCTTGGCAAGAGAGAGAGAGAGAGAGAGAGAGAGAGAGAGAGATGGGCAGACTGGAAGGCTTGAAGAAATTCTGAAAAGGGATAGAGAAAATGCTTAAGAAATAGTATAATTTATGAAACATTCTATTGACTAATGGGGGGGGGCTTAAAGCAGCCTCACTGTACACTCTCCTGGAAGGCAGGGAACTTGTCCAGTGAATCTTTGTATGTCCACCGCCTAGTGCTGAATCAAGACACACCAAAGGCACTGGGTAACTGCTGCAGGAAAAGGGCTGGAAAACGGAGAGAGTAAATCGCCCATAGGAGACATCCCTTCTTCCCACGGGGGTTTTGGTAGCACAACCTATGACCTCCCACCAGCAGATGGCAAGATAGAGTCCCGTGGCTCAAGAGAATGGCGAGGCTGGGCGGAGCGTTCGAGGCCCCGGCGCGCGCATCCTCCGACCCTTTTTTTCTCAGAGCACCGGAAGAGGAGGCCCTCTTTCCGCGCCTAGCGCAGCCATGGTAAGGCAGCTTCTTTGAGAGCTCTTGGAAAGCATCGGTCCCCATCCTCTTAGAACTGGGGCCGCCCGGGTCTTTGGACTACCCTCAATGGGTGACCGGTCCGAGGCCAAGGGAGCGAGACCTGTGGGGTGGCACCAGACTGGCTATAGGGCAAGAGCGGACACCGATCTGAAGTGGGAGGGTGAAAGCGGTTGCTGGCGGAAAGGCCTCTGTCTTTCGCCCCGCCACGCGTCCTGTGACCCTGTGAGGAGCGGCTTCTCGGGCCGGAGCCGGGGCCGGACGGGTGAGCGCCGGTCCAGCCTGGCGGAGGGGCCCCTACTCACCCCGTTTGGCAAGCCCCTACCTTATGCTATGTGATCGGCGAGCATCTGTGTACGGCAGTAAATGGGCTTCCGCGTTTTAAAGTGAAAGCTGGTGTCAGCGATGTGCACGTGGTTACACTGAAGTCAGGTTAATACAGAAGTAGACACTTTAAAGATAGAGGATTATGTTATGGGAACTTCTGTGTAAATTGGTACAAATAGGTTGGGTTCTGGTCTGTTACAGTTGCTATCTGCCTGCTCAGCTTGCAAACTTGGGCAATTGCACCAGCCTTGTCAGGGGGAGGGGGCCGGGAATAGCTTCTAGAAGGATACAAGCTTGCAAGCAGTTAGTGGATGTGTAAGATACCTCAAAAATAGTAATAAAGTATTCTCCCAGTGAGAAGGCTGCAGTTTCTGGAACCTGTAGTATTTGCAAAGTAACGGGTATGAGTTTGTCTGTGGCCAGGGTTCTATGGTTAACACTGTTCCCTTTTTGCTTACACGATTCTTTCAAGAGGTGAGTTACACTTTGTATAAGATGTTCTTGAAAACTTGAAACTAACAGCGTTGCATTTAAACACTGCTTCAGGCTCGTGGTCCCAAGAAGCATCTGAAGCGTGTGGCGGCTCCAAAGCATTGGATGCTGGATAAACTGACCGGGGTGTTTGTGAGTATCTTAAGGGACACTTCCTGCCAGTTTGAGCTTTGGTTGACACAGAAAGGCTGCTCTGTGTATCAGGCAGCCTGATTACTACTGTATCCCGAAGTTTTCCTCTCGGGTGCTTTATCAGTCATTTGGGGGCACAGGTAGGGCAAGAATACTTGACTTCCTCTTCTTGAAGACCTTTTACCATCTAGTTGGTTCCTATCTCTTATTTTCCTGCCAAGCTTATTCCATAGTGCACTTACATAGATTAAGAAATCAAATGTTTTTAATAGGTCTCTCCTGAAAATGAATCATGAAACTTGGGTGGGTTTGAGTGGTTCGTTGAGTCCCAACAAGTTTGTGGTGATTACCATTTTACAGGCTCCTCGTCCATCCACGGGTCCCCACAAGCTGAGGGAATGTCTTCCTCTCATCATTTTCCTAAGGAACAGGCTTAAGTACGCTCTCACAGGAGATGAGGTGAAGAAGATCTGCATGCAGCGGTTCATTAAGATAGATGGCAAGGTCCGCACTGATATTACCTACCCTGCTGGTTTTATGGGTAAGTGGTCAGTGATGGCTCCTTTCAGTTGTCTGTCCAAAGGGTCAGCTGTGAATGCTAGTGAACTTTTTTTTTTCCAGTCTCAAATAAAACACGAGACACGGCATCCCCCCTCCGTTTTTTACATTCACATATTTTAAGACTGCAAAAGAGATCAAGTTCCTTCTCAAAGCCAAATTTCAGTGTATTTTAGATTTTACATGGAGCCATAAAAGTGGGGCCTTAAGTGGTATTTGTGAGCTGAATTGGTGTTGCTATTTTTTTCTTTTTTGAGGTGTAACAGTTACTGTAAGTTTAGGAGGACAGGTTCACGTTCACACCTCTTCAAATGGAAACAGTAATTAGCTAGTTGCTGTTATTTTTGGGAATCCTGATGGTGTTGGTAATGGAAGGCACATGGGTTTGTGGTGTGGTTATTTAGCCTGCACTAGTACTGTAGTAATCTTTAGTTATTGTTTGATACTAGATGTCATCAGCATTGACAAAACTGGAGAGAACTTCCGACTCATCTATGATACTAAGGGTCGTTTTGCTGTTCATCGCATTACGCCTGAGGAGGCCAAGGTGAGTTGCAAGCCAGCTGAGTCTTCAGTAAAATCACCTGGTTCTAAATTTGGATTGAGTACAAGAGATGAGCATTTTGATTACTTATAGTTTTACATTTGGAAATAGTTAACAGTTTTATGATACAATATTTGGTTTTATAGTTTTATTTTTTGGAGACTAGGAGAGGGATTTGGGGGACTTTTATGAATACTTTGAGTGAGAAAGCTTTAATGGGGAGGCGGTATCTAATCCAACCCCAGTTGGCCTTTTGTCCTGTGGAACCGGCTTTAGTCTGGAGAGAAGTGTTAATAGAGGAAACTGATATTGCTTGGAGCACTAGTTTGAGTTAGCTCAGAAGGAAAGATTTTAGGCATTGATTGTTTAATCTAGTTTGTTGTGATGGTTTTACACAAAGGTTTAAGGCTTCTTGAATTGGATATAAATGAAGGCTAATTCAATTTGGGTGATTCCGCTTCCAATTTTCTTAGCTGCTATGTTATCAGACTGGAGGGCATGTCCGGTGTCATCAAGGTGATTTGATTTACTTTAAGGTTGTCAGTGAAAATCCAAAATTGAAACCATTTGAAGTGTTTGTTGATTAGTTGAACTGGTAATACAATTGGCAATTTGGTGAGAAAAAGTTCAATTGTAGTGTAGAAGGAGCCATTAAGAGACGCCTCTTCTAAGAAGAGGTGAAGGCTAAGTTAGAGTTCAGAGAGCTTAAGTTGCCTAAGAAAAGGAGGAGGGTGATTTGTATTGAGAGGAGGACTTTTAATTGGTGGTGACCAGCAAACCCACCAGGGGTTACCTTTTCGGAGAATTAGAAAAATTAAAGGGGCCTTTAGTGCCTTAGGCTTTTAACATGGGAGTGAAACAGTATTACGAGGAAATGAATAATAGGAAAAGTAGCCTAGAGAGATTGAAAGAAAGATTTAGGGGGGAAAGCCAGATAGCATTCTATAGTTCTAGGACATTGTGCATGTGAGCTAATGTGGCTGACCCTTCCATGTTTCTTTACTAGTACAAGTTGTGTAAAGTGAGAAAAATATTTGTGGGCACCAAAGGAATTCCTCATCTTGTCACCCATGATGCTCGTACCATCCGCTATCCTGACCCCCTTATCAAGGTGAATGACACCATTCGGATTGATTTGGAGACTGGCAAGATTACAGATTTCATCAAGTTTGACACTGGTAAGAGCCTCTCTGTTGCCGGGCATCCTTGTGAGCCTGAGCTTAAAGCACTATTTTTTGTGGCCCTGTGTGTTTTTAGTGTGAATTTAGTCAGGTGTGAGTTGCATGGGCTTGGGTATATTTGTTTGCTTTGTGTATGGTTTCAGGGTGATTCTGTTGTATGCCTGGTTAGCAACCCAAGCTAGATGCCTTTTAATGCAATAAAGGATTGCAGGGGGTTAGTGGGCAGCAATTCTTAAGTTTTAGAGACTACTAGCAACACATGACTCTAGTGTGGCTTTGTGTTAGTGGTGGGATTTGAGAAAGAACATTGTGAATAGAAAGGTAGTAATTGGAGAATGTATGTGCTCCAGTGCCCAATCCAAACTTTTACTTCAGTTCTCACATCTGCTCTATATACCTCAAGAAGATCCCTGTCAAATAGTGGGGTATTGGGGCACTGTGCGAAAGCCTGACCAAAAAGTACACCAATCTAATTGTAATAAGGTCCTCAAGTCCAAGCTGCCTTGCTCTGAGCAGATTCTTCCTTCCCATTTAGGCAACCTGTGCATGGTAACCGGAGGTGCTAACTTGGGAAGAATTGGCGTGATCACTAACAGAGAGAGACATCCTGGTTCTTTTGATGTAGTCCATGTAAAAGATGCTAATGGCAACAGTTTTGCTACTCGTCTTTCCAACATTTTTGTTATTGGCAAAGTGAGTATGTTTCCCTTTTCTCTGGCTCGTGGCTGGCTCTTCTCAACCTAATGTAAAACTTACCTAATGTAAAATTCTTCTGAATAGGGCTCAGAAAGAGCTGGGAGTGGGGCTTTTTCAGCTTTCATAGAATCATCAGTGACCTGATCATTTTGGTTGGTTAAAAAGTGCCAGCAGTGGAATGAATGTACATTACTAAGTGCTTTGATTATTTGTGCTTGCTGGCGGGGGGCAGGGGGAAATAGATTGATTAACTTTTACTCGGTAAGTTTAATAGAAAGGCCCCAGAAGCTCAAGTAGTGGGTAGCTTTCATAGGCCAGCATGTGAGTGTCTTAAAAGTGCCTGTTATTGTTTTCACAGACAGATTCGATTCCTTTTAATGAGGTGACAGGTTGCCTTGGCTTGTGGCATGGTTTTGATTATCATTTTCTTCTCCAGGGCAACAAATCATGGATTTCTCTTCCAAGAGGAAAAGGTATCCGCCTCACCATTGCTGAAGAAAGAGACAAGAGATTAGCAGCCAAACAGAGCAGTGGGTGAAATCTTACTAGGTGACATAGATGGGTGGAAGAGCCCTGATGCTTAAATAAAGATGATACAGCATGATTTAATTTACAGTTTTTACCTGTTTTATAACATGAAAAGTCAGGCAGGTTTAGGCATTCTGTGATGTTAATCTTCCTGAGGGGTTGTTAATTAAGGGAATGCTGGTTTATAGCAGATTTGGGGGGTTAAGGTTCACACCTTTTCGCCAACACCGAAGTGCCAATAACCAACACCACAATCTATTTTTCCGGAGTTAGGGCAGGACTTCGGTGGTACAGGAGGGAGAAGCAGCCAATCCCTCAGTTAAAGAGCCAGGGAAGTCCAGTGATAGGTCTCTTTGACTTGACTTTAGAATTCACCTACACAGTCAGGACCCTCCGCCCTGTTAAGTCCTCTTGCCTTTTCTGCTGTCTCACCATCATGGTCATTTATCATTTTCACTTGCAGACTATTCAGATTTAAATCCTCCCACCATAACAGTTTTGCAGTATCTTTACAATTTGCATGTCAAATGGTTGCCTCTGAGCCAGTGGAGGAGGAACTGGTTGGGCAAGTAATGGCCAGTAACCAGAGTTCTCCTGAACTCTGCCATCCCAGAGAGACTCAGGGTCCTTAGAACTTCTGCTTAATTGAGCAGAGGGGATTTCTGTAGGAACTATGGTCATCAAAATCTGGAAGAGGTGTTGACAAGATGTGTTGTCATACCCAGGGGACAGGAACTCATCTAGATAGGCCCTTCTGATGGGTTATGGGGTCAAGATCCTGTGATGCTTGCAGGAGACCCAGTACAGGCCCAAAAGAGCCAGAGGTTCCAGTCTCACCTAGGCAGAGCCCCCTGAATGTGCATCATCTTGCTAACTCACTTGCTATGCTTGTAGCTGTACTTGGTTTGTTCTCAGTCTCAGCCAATAAATGGTGGGGATTACATTAATTTTATTAAGGGACCAAAGCAAAGGTGGAGAATTGAGTGACAGCCTCCAAGTTGATTCCACCATGCAGTGGTTTCCTCGATACCACTTGGCTGGTTATCTTGCACAACTGGTGAATTTGGCTACAGTCTCCTTGCATCATGGAAATTCTTCATGCCATTTTAAATTTGTTTCATTGTTTAATTTAGAGTTGACCCTTGAGTTTAACTATTAACCTGTTGGCCAGTAAGTCAGTGTCATTACAATAAGCTAGAAAAAAAAAGGTTAGTGAGGAAATGCATTTACAGTATGTTTAAATACTGTGACTTGCCATTTATAAGAAAATCCACTTACAAATGCACCTGTGCAGTTAAAACCCATGCCCGGGGTCAACTGTATTTGTCAAACTAAATAGGAGTATGTGTGGGTGTAGGCATGCATTTGTGCTAGCCTCAACATGGGAAACTTCCCGTTCTAATGTTCGTTGATATTGGTGGACTCGGCCAAAGCTACAAGTTATTTAAAAAGTGACTCATCTTCACGGGGCTATCCAAAGCTTCAGATTTAATGCAGAAACTTATAGAGCTGGAGTGATCACCACAGCAGGGAGGCAGACTTGGTCCTGAGGTGAAACTGACCTGTAGAGCTTGATAGGGCTTGTTTTAGTTGCCCTGTGACATCAGCAGGCTGGGTCTCAGACCTCAGTCACAAGGCAGCACAGTTCAACTTTGAGAAAACAAACAGGACATGAGTAGTGCCGTTTTTAAAAGGCTGTCTTGTCTTGATTTTTTAATATGTCTGTGCTCTTACTGCTAAACCACAGCTTAGTGGTTCCTGCAGCTGGTCTACACAGCAGTCGGTGCTACCCAGTTTTCCTCATCGTAAGTCACGGAAATTCCCTCTTAACCTGTTACAGCAAGTACTTCAGGCATGTCCTCAATTTGTCTCCTTTTCTCACATTCGATCACTCCATTTTATTAGGAAATCATGTCAGATAGGTCTTCAAAATATATCCAGACCCTATATTCGTGATACTTAGAAATTGTCTTCTGTGTGGTAATCATGAGTCAGAAATACATACTAGAAGATTTGCCAATGAAATAAGCAATTAAATGTAATGGGTGAGACGTTGAAGCTGGGTGATGGGCATGGGGGATTTGTTGAACTAGTCACTCCTGTGTATGTTTGACATTCTTAATAAATTTACAAAGGAACAAAGAATAGTGCAGTGTCTGCCCACCCCCTAAATGTTGGACAACTCATCACCTACATTGCTGCCATCCTAGTCTAACTGACTGATGGCTCTCACATTCTAGACTATAGCACTGGCCCTTGACATCTGATTACCATTTGCACCCTGCAGTCTCGGTCTGGCAGCCAGAAGGAACCCTGTTTAAAGTTAGGCATCAGGTCACTCGTCAGAGCCCCTGTATAACTGCTCCCACCTCACCTCACCCACTAATCCCTCAGTTCAAAATGTTCAGTTGCTGGTTTCCAGTTTCTTGAGAAGTGCTTAAGTGCCTTTTCACCTTGCACTGACTCCTTTTTTAAATAAATGTGTAGTTTATATCATCAAATAAGAGGTTTAGAGAAGTACAGTGGTCACAGACACCAGCTACATTCCACAATTAGAGCATCTTGCCATAGTTTATTTTAGACACATGTGCCTGTTTTTCTGCTCCCTAAATGGGTTGCAGAAATGCACTAAACTAATGCCATTTGCAGCAACATGGATGGAACTGGAATGGATTATGATAAGTGAGATAAATTAGGAGAAAGAAAAACACTGATGGTCTCACTTAATAGGGGAACTGAACCAAGGGTCAGGTAAAGGAAATTTTGAAGGTGAACCATAGCTCTGAGATATACAGTAGGGGAGGGAAAAAGGACAATGGGAGGGAAGAACACAAGGGATTGTGGTGATGGTGCACATGCGATGCAGTGGGAGAGTTGGGACTACACCTGAGGGGAGAAATGACCAAAACTAAGTTGCACAAGTGGTTGCAAGATCAGGCTGAGGAGGCAGCACCCGGACAAAAGGAGCAGAGGGGTAACCAAGGGCCAAGAAGCATGAGATCTGGGCCCATGATGCAGAGGGCAGGACTGAGGACCTCTAGTGGGAAGAGGAAGGAGAAAGGACCAGGTTATGGTCACTTCATGAACTGTTTGGATGAGCTGGACTTTGCTCAGTAGGGCCTGCCCACTGCCTTGCAAAAACAAGGCATGTGAGAAGACTCATGAGTGAGGGAAGTATGAATCTTGTTGAAAACTGAGCCAGAAAAGAAGGAACTCCATCTCTAAGAAGGTAAACACATTGTCGAAGAGGCAGATAGGAAGTGTGAGGAGGTGGCAGGTGGCTCAGAAGTCCATGAAAATTGAGAGGACTTGGCTGGCAGTGACTGTTGCTAAGAAATGGATGAGCAGATCATACTGGAGGACCAGAACCTGAAGTGTGAGTGCTGCTGGTGAAAAGCACACTCGGAAGACAAATAGGAAAGGAGAAAGATTTTTATTGAAAAGGAGGCAGCAACCACACTGAGTTTACTGAATAGCCAAGATGGAAAAGACAATTGATGCAGAAGATAAACTGAAATGCATCAAAGTGAAGCAACTGTGGACACAGGATGCTGAACCAGACTCTACTTCACCTGAAGGAGCTCTAGAGCATTCGAGTCCTACCTGCCACTATGCACCCACCCTCTGATCCCAAATCCACCGGGGTATGAAGCTGACTTTTAAACAGACTGAAGGTTGCTTCTCCCACGTCCTCTCCCACCTCCACTCCTACATCTTTTCCACTGAACTCTGTGCCTCTCCCAGAGGCTAATAAGCAACCTTGGAAAAAACATAATAAGGGGATGTGAGCACAATCAAGCCTCTTTAAGAGCATATTGTGATGTGCACATCTTGTAGTTAAGCTTTTTATGTTGTGATGTAGCAACCATTGGTAAAACAGTCCAAGTAATTCCACAGTTCTGAAACAGCAGTGGAATCCCTTTCTCACTTCTGGAAAGTAATTTCAGCTTACTGAATATGATCTGCTCCTTAAAGGAGGGAAAGGGGTGTGGGCCTGTCTTAGAAACAGAGCTAAGCAGAGCCAAACATCCCAGACAAAGACTCCACTGTGGGAAACCTCACTGCTAGGGGCAAAGTACTGGTCAAACTGACAAGATTCAGGTTTTCAGTTTTAAAGTGTCTTTTTGGCAAGTGTTTCATTGATTGGTTGGTTTTTCCCATCAAAAGTGACCAAGCAAATTAAGATGGTGAGACCTCTGAGATCAAACCCTTGCTCTATCTTTATCCCCATTCCAACCCTTAGAGACTGGATCCTGTGCCCCTTACGTTGAGGTGACCACATATCTGCTTTCTTGCATCCCTGAAAAAAAGAAAAGGAAATTGTTTTTACCACTGATTTAGCCATATGAAACAGCTCGCCGTCCTTTTTCTTGGTCTGAAGCTGTCTCTAAAAGTGTCATCTTTTAGATAAAAAGTGCTTTTTATCTGAGTGATGGAGAAATCTTGAATAGCTTATGCATAAAATGTTTCATACTATTTTGAAACTTGGCTTCTTTGGGGTTGGGGCATAGTGGCCTCCCCATTTGGCTATATGAGTTATCTACATTTTGGCTTGGCATTGTGCTGATCTTCAGAATTTTCCTTCCCTACCCAAAGCTCCCCCTCCTTTTTTGTGAGCTCTGTTAAGTGTGCATCCTGCAGCTCAGTCACTTAAAATTGCTTTCCTTTGGTATATTCTCTTTGGGGGCCCCCTGGAAGAAAGAGAAACCAATAGTACAATTGTTTTGATACTGGAAATTGGCATATGTCTTTTTGAAATAAAGATCAAGTCCCTTCAGCCCTTAGGAAAAACGAAAACAAATTGCTGAAGACATCATGACCTTGGGTTCCTGGCACTTAGAGATGGCAAGTACTGGCTCTCCCAGCCTCTGTTCCAAGAACTGCTTTTCATGTTAACTTGTGTATCAACTAGATATCCAGGAGAGATGCTATCTTTTCAAATAGGAAGTCTCCATTCTGAATCAGGGGAATCCACCTACTTACCCCAGGTTGCTGGGCCTGAAAAATTACCCAAGCATAAAAAACAATGAAAATGGGCCCTCCTTGGTGGTGCAGCGGGTTGAAGCAAAGCACTACAAAGCCTCT